AATCCGCTTAAATTCTAACGGGATTAACGGTTGTCCTTGACCGTCAGCGCTCAAAAACAAACACTGCAAGTCACTAACGGTCTTATTGTCTATTTTCCTTTTTTCTGGAGTCTCTGAAACAATGGACAAATTCGTTACGAAACAGCTCGATTTATTCAAACGAATAAAATCTACAGTTGAAAATATGAAAAAGATGGGAGCGGTAAAAATCACAAAGGGGGTGGTCAGTGCTCGACTGGAACTTCTGGAGAAAAACTGGACAGCTTTTTCCGAAACTCACAACGAGCTTTTAGATGTCTTCTCCAAGGAATCGGAGCATTTCTACTTCCAGGAAGACTATATCAGCATCGGGGAAGAAGCATACCTGGCTCAAAAGGCATTTTTACTGGATCTTCAGGAGGAACTTTCTACCGGTAAGAGCACTCCATCACAAAATCCTTCGTCGCTGCGAGCCTTACCAAAAATAGTGCTCCCTGTTTTTTCGGGAGAATACAACAATTGGTCGAATTTCCGTGATCTTTTCCAATCGCTCATCATCGATAATGACTCGCTCTCGCTTGTCGAAAAACTCCATTATCTAAAAACAAGTTTATCTGGTGAACCCGCTCTGTTATTACAAAACATTTCGGTTACCGGTGATAATTTTGAACGCGCCTGGCGGTGTATTACCGAAAGGTATCAATATCTACGAGTGCTGATTCACGCCCAGCTTACTTCTTTAACATCTCACCCTACGATGAAGAAGGAGTCCGCACAAGAGTTGAAGGGATTGGTTGACGGCACTACCGATTCGGTTCAAGCCCTCGAAACTTTGAAGCGGCCAGTCAAGCATTGGGACGATTGGCTGGTCTTCGTCATCGCCAGAAAATTGGACCCTAAAACCAGGATGGCTTGGGAATCACACGTCGGAGCGTCAACCGAACCTTCTACATTTGAGGAGCTCAGAACCTTCCTCATCACAAGAGTAAGAGCACTGGAGGCTGTGGAAGGTTCGGCCATTTCATCGGCGGCGTCCAGCGGATGATCAGGAGCACCAAAGCTGGAAAAAGGAGCGTCATTTAATTCCTATGCGCGCGTAAGGTCGCACGCCACGTCTACGTCCAGTCGCAGCACTCCACGATGCGCCATTTGCAAGAAGGAGCATCCACTACTCTTTTGCTCCATATTTAAGGGTATGAATCCTCGAGAGAGGAAGCAGCTGGTCACTGAGAAGCACCTATGTTACAACTGTTTGGATCCTCACTCTGCTACCGCGTGTAAGTCCACTAAGCGTTGCCAAGTATGCGTGGGTAAGCATCACACCTCTCTTCATTCTAACATTGAGCAATTTTCTGCCGCTGGTTCGTCTTCCTTAGTGCAGGTACCCAGGGCAAGTCCTGAGGTGGAGAACAGTCTCAATTCAGAGCTAGCTGACACTTCCAGCAAGGTTATTCACTGCGCAACGACATCCTGTTCCGTGTCTGAGTCGATTTCGGTCATTCTAGCCACTGCGGAACTCGTGCTGGAGTCAGACCAGGAATATCGGACGCTCGTCAGAGCTCTTATAGATCCCTGTTCGGAAGTTTCACTGGTAGAAGAAAGCGTCGCTCAAATCTTGAGACTTTCCAAAATTCCAGACAAAATCCCTCCAGATAAAATTCCGGTAATTGGTGTTGGAAAGACACAGACCTTCACTAAAGGTAGGGTTTCTCTTCGTTTATATTCTCGTTATGACGAATCCACTTCATATAATTTGACCGCTTACGTGCTTCCTCGATTATCAGCGTATTAGAACAGAACTTCATCTAGTCCAGTCGCGCTTTCTCATCTTCAAGGGTTGAAATTGGCGGATCCGAATTTTCAATCATTCCGACGCATAAGCGTCATCCTGGGAGCGGGAATATACGCTCAGATTATGTATTCGGTCCGGTTTAATACAAGGTCCACCAAATACCCCAATAGCTCAGGCTACTTCACTTGGGTGGATATTAACGGGACCCTTACTCGCCCCCCAAAAGAACAAAGCCGAATCTCATCAGGCAATATCTTTACAATGCTCATTAATGGATCCGGACTTAACAGAGACACTCACCAAGTTCTGGAAGCTCGAGGAAGTCCCTTCCAACTCAAAACCGCTCACTAGTGAGGAAGAGGCGTGCGAGAATCACTTCCGAAAAACGCATTCTCGGGACGCTTCGGGGAGATACACCGTGTCTTTGCAATTCAAATCTTCACCTTCTCTTCTGGGTGAGAGCAAACGAGCCGCTATTTCTTTTCTCGCGAAGTTAGAGACGCACTTCAACTCAAATCCCTCGCTACAAAAAGAATATTGCGATTTTATTAAAGAGTATGAGTCGCTAAGACACATGGAGCGTGTACCGGAACAAGAAAACTTCAGTTCAAACTATTATTTGCCTCATCACGGTGTGTGGCGTAAAACTAACGCGATTACTAAACTTAGAGTCGTGTTTAACGCCTCACACAAAAGCACTTCAGGTCTGTCTTTAAACGACCTGGTACATACTGGTCCAAATCTATTATCGGAAGTTTTTTCTATTCTATTGCGCTGGCGCAGACATGCTATAGCTTTCGTGGCGGACATTGAGAAAATGTATCGTCAAATTCGGGTATCTCAAGCAGATTGTGAGTTTCAAAAAATCGTTTGGCGAAATTCTCCTACTTCTCAACTCTCTACTTACAAACTTTTAACGGTTGCTTACGGCATTGCATGCGTTCCATTTCTGGCTATTCGTACTCTACAACAGTTAAGTACAGATGAAAAAGAGGTTTATCCGCTGGCAGCTCTCTGTCTTTTACACGACACCTACGTCGATGACGTAGTATCTGGAGCAAACACTCTGGAAGAAGCCATTCTCCTTAGTCAACAATTAATTGCGTTGTTAAGGGCGGGCGGCTTCAAACTTAGAAAATGGGGATCTAATAATCCCGATCTTTTAAAAAACTTACCAGCGGATTACCTTGCTTCTTCCTCTAATCTTGTGTGCAACTTTGACGCAGTTTCTAGTCTCCTTGGTTTGAGTTGGAACACTTCCACGGATTGCTTTATTTTCAACCCTCAACCTCGGAATCTTACTGGACGCATAACTAAAAGAACAGTTTTTAGTGAGATTTCAGGTTTGTTCGACCCACTAGGCCTTCTGGCTCCTGTGGTAATTCTTGCAAAAATCTTTATGCAGTCGCTTTGGCTGTTGAATTTAAATTGGGATGATTCCCTTCCCAACCCTCAAAGGGATTTCTGGTTAACTTACCTGTCGGAGTTGAGCGCTCTTTCCTCGCTTCGGATACCTCGCTGGCTTTCTACTTCATCTAACGATAACATTCTTCAATTGCATTGATTTGCTGACGCGTCCGAAAGGGCCTATGCTACGGTCATTTATATAAGGGTTTTGTCCCAGCATCCCGAAGCTACACCCACTATGACGCTCGTAGCAGCTAAAACGCGAGTAGCTCCTTTAAAACAAGTCTCACTACCTAGACTCGAACTGTGCGCAGCTCCCTACTGGTTAGACTTATTAAAAGTGTTAGAGATACTCTTTCTTTACATACCTGTGAACTCCATCTCTGGTCTGACTCCACTATAGTTCTTACAAGGAAAGGCACGCAAGCGTCCCCGTCCGATTTTGATGAAACTTCGTAGGTTTGTTAAGCAGGCAAAAATAA